ATAGAATAGAATAGAATAGAATAGAATAGAATAGAATAGAATAGAATTCTTTTTTGGCCAAGTGTGACTGGACACACAAGGAATTTGTTTTGGTGCAAATATTCTCAGTGTACACAAAAGAAAAGATACATTCGTCAAGGGTCGGGAATCATAAGGTACAACACTTAATAGTAGTCATAGGATACAATAAACAAATCATACTAGGAAACAGTCAATATAGGATGGTGCAAAGCAGCCAGCCCTTTGGCTTGTATGAGAGTCGGGGCTGTGCAATGCTTTGGTTAGATTAGCAGGATCGTTCATCTTTCTTTCACAATCTGGTAGAGGTAGTGCTCCCACCTCCACGTTTTAGTCTCCGGAGGCCCAGTGAGATGAATGGGACTGATCCCAAGGAACTCAGTGAGTTTCCAAGGCTTTGGGGTGGGTTTGAACCTGGGTCTCTTTAACCCGGGTCCAACAACTTAACCAAATGTGACAAAATAGCAATAAAACGTAGGTAATCCACGTCTTACAACAGTTCATTCAATAACCATTCAAAGTGACTTTTGACCCTTTTTCACAGCCTTTGTAATAACCCCATGATCATGTGATCAAATTTCAGCTGCTTGGTAACTGATTCATACTTACGACCGTTGCTGTGTCCCAAGGTCATGGGATCACCTTTTGCAATCTTTTTGACAAGCAAAGTAAAATGGGGAAGCCAGATTCACTTAACAACCGAGTTGTTATCGACTGCAGTGATTTACTTAACAACCTTGGCAAGAAAGGTCGTGAAATGGGGCAAAACTCCCTTAACAAATGTCTCACATAACAACACAAATTGGAGACTTCCAAGGTCCCTTTCAGCTCTATTCTGATTGATTGAAATCGTGGCCTCAATTGTGGTCATAAGTGAAGGACTGCCTGTACTTCGAAGGAAACTAAGCATCCTTTCTCCAAAACAGCCAGGTTGGCGGTGGGGTTAATGGGGCAAGTCCAGTATTTCTCAACCTTGGCAACATTAAGGGGTGGATTTCAAATCCCAGAATTCTCCAGCCAACCCATGTTGACTGAGGAATTCTGGGAATTGAAGTCTACCCCTCTTAAATTTGCCACGGTTGAGAAACACTAGTCTAGTCTATATTCAACCACTGGGTGACTTTGGGCCAGTTACTTTCTCTTCCCCGCCTTACCTCACAGGGTTGTTGTTGGCAAAAAAAAGGAGGAAGGTCAATCTATATATCCTGGCCAGTGCTGCTGTACATAAAACAGAATAGAAATCTAATAAATAGGTGTTTTTCTGGCATGGAAGGATTTCATCGCTTGGATAAAAATCTCCTTCATCGCAGGTTGATTTCTGGTAACCCGGGGTGGGGAAATCTTGTCCCTTTTATGACTTGTGAACTTCAACTCCTGGAATTCCTGAGGCAGCATGGCTGGCTTAAGAATTCTGGGAGTTGAGGTTCCTCACCCCTGTGGTAACCACATGGACCCATTGTATGAGCAGTGAGAGGTGTTTATTTATTCAGCTTATACGGCTGCCCATTTCACACGCAGTTTTGCTGCTGCTCCTGTCACAGATGCTTTTCAAACTTTCCAATAAAAGGAAAGTAAACATAGAAAGAGGTTCAGTGTTATGCCTTTCTTTCTATCAGAGCAGAACAGAATATATGGGTGTGGAAGCCAACGAATGAAAAACAAGTTTGAAAGTGGCAGGAGAGGGGAACATTAAAAATGTCCCCAGTGCATCCCTAGGGGAGAAGCAATGGGACAGTGATGCAGAATGTGGCCATCAGCTTCATTCTAAACTCCTGACACTTCTTATCAAAAAATTTCAAGCTAAACCTGTTATTATTAAGCAGTTTAAACCACTTACTTTGACTTTCCAGTCTACAGTCTAGATTAGATGGGAGGAGGGGCAGACAAATCTAATAAATAAAATTTCTACTGGTCTCCCACCCAAGTACCACTGGATCCGACCCTGATTAGATTTCCGAAATCTGAAAAAGTTATCTATACACTGCTACCTAGCTGAATACCTCTTGAAATCAGCTTTAAACAAAAAGTGTTCAGGGTTTTTTCTTGACAATTCTCAAAGTTTGATTAACAGCCATCATCAATATGGAGGCTCATTTGCAGGTTTTGGCATTTTGTTAAATCATCTCCTGATATTTCTTGCCCAAGATTTCCAGTTCAACATTTTCATTGTCGTGTATAACAAATCTGCTACAAATTCCCAAAAGGAAAAGAAAACAGGAGAGATGAAGAAAGTGTTTAGCCTACAGTACTCTAATCCAGAGGCTTTTATTGGTTTTTAAGAGTAAAGTCCTTTATTGTATAGCTTTAAAATCACAGCATGATGTCAATTTACACCATATTAATGAAATAGGCTTCTTAAGTGAGCTTTTCAGTAATTAAAAAATCCTGAAGTGTCACAGTCTATGTATCAAATACTATTTCATTTTTATTTTCTATACATAATACCCTGTTTCTCCAACAATACGGCCTCCCCCAATAGGAAGTCCCAGCATGTTTTATAGGCATGAAATGAAATTAAGCCCCTCACCCCAAATTAAGGCCTATATTAAAACATGCGAAATGGGAGGGAATGGTGGGGGGGCTTGCCGTTAGGAAGTACTTTTGTTGCACACCGATATGGAGCTGCCTGCGTTGACCCCGATACGAAGTGCCCCACCAACGCCGAGGTCAACATCCAAGCCGTCGCCGCCCGCCTGAAGATGCAAGGGGGGGGGGAATTAAGTCACCCCCGAAAAGACGGCCTAGCCATTTTTTCGGAGCTCAAAAAAAAATAAGACCCAGCCTTATTATATGAGAAACACGGTATGATAATCGATAATATTGTCCTTTTACCAATGGATTTGCTATGTTAATGGTTTTTTTCTCCTTGTAACATTAAAGAAGCATTAAATTATCCTTCAAAAGTTACCAAATGCTTTTAAAAATGTAATATGTATGATGTATATGTAAAAAAAAAGAGAGAGAGAGAGAGAGAGAGGCTCCTTGGATGAGAAGTGAAACACTTCCAAAAAAACCAAGGAAGTCCAGTTGCCTTTGGGGAAAAAAAGCACGGTTGGGATTTCAGAACAGACCCACCCCGGTTTCTGGAAACTAAATTCAAAGGAGGTGTAATGGTATGTGAAAATGACCTTGGAAGACAGGGCAAAGAGATTCTGCCAAGGGAACAGGACTGAAGTTGGCCTTGCAGGACATACCAGATAAGAAACACAACCAGATCAGCTTACTTTATTGTAATGTTACACTGATAGAATCTTGCAATTCTGAAAGTATGTTTCTCCTCTCTCCCATCTCCTTTACAAGCCCCAAAAGTAGGGAAGGCCTCTTGTGAGCCTCTTGCCCAGCCCACTATCCATCCACAGGCTATGCTGTCCCTTATCTGACTGTTCCCTTGGCAATGTCTCTTGACACAGTCTGCCAAGGCCATCCCCACATACTACAGAAGGGAAGAAATCCTTTTCAGATTTCCAAGATTCTGTTTAATGTAACCTTATAATAAAGGTAGTTTTATACTCATGGTTTTTCTTCTTGTCTGGATTACCTCAAAAGGATGACAGTCACTTACCCGGAAGATCTGCTGGGTTTTTCCTTATCAGGTTAAGGATAGGAAAGAATTAGAAAGAAGCCTTTCTCTATAGCTGTTTCACATTTTGAAATCTATTTTTATTTATTTTATTTTTATTTATTTGGTTTGTCAATTGCTTACAAGATAATAGGTATAAGTAAAAACATAGTTATGAATACATGGATACATATAAGGTTAAACAGTCTAAGGTTTTGGGGTTTGGGGAAGAACATAAGGCCTATGAGTACTTTGAAGAGTATGAATGATGCTTGGAATTAGTTTTTAGCAATATTTAAGAAATGTTATTTGTGAACTGTTATTTTTTTCCTTTACAATTTTGAAAGTTACTGTCAATTTTTAAAGTAGAAGGGAGTACAAGGAATACAGTAAACTAGTAAATCTTTTTTAAAAAATCTTTTTCAACTGCTTTTCCTTCTGAAGAGCCCAGAGTACCTCACAAAAGAATCATGAAAATGATCTGGAATGAAACCGTGAAGATTGCTATCTTGCTGTGTCCATAAAAGGCTACAGAAATGAAATAAGGTTCATTAAAATAAAGAACAGTCTACAGTTATGTCCTGTAACGGCTCTAGCTATCGTGCAAACGTGTGAATGAATAAAAACCTCACTTGTCATTTGAAGCGAGATTGTGTCTCTCACAGAAGTCAGCTCCCGAGTTGAAGTGTTGCAATCCATCATCAACAAGGCTCTGTTTTTAATCATCCCACTGTAAGACTGATCCAACCACAGGCCAAGACCAGGGCATCTCTCTCTGAGTTTAGGTGACATTGGGGAGTGGGTCTCATAAAAACCTGGAGCCTGAGCAACCGGTTCCACTTGCTTTGTAAAGGAAGGGAG